ATCCCTCCCCTCATCACAACATGACAGCCAACTTCCACCCCTACGTCTGGGCAACTCAAACACGATCACATCTTGTACAACCCCCTTGACTCCATCTTCAGCATGCAGAAATCAAAATGCGACCTCCAGGTCTCAAAACGATTCCCCTCCTCCCAAAATATTAGACATAACCCGCTTCACTGAACTTATGGTTAGTACAGCGGTCGGTTGAGGTAGAACATGTGTGCGACCTAAGATGAGGTCACGGAACCATATAACCCACGCCTATTCTACCTTTATCAATGAAGAAAGACGCTGTCTTCCGATAAAATAACTCACCCCGTTACCGTAACACGACAATTCAAGCTTCGCGTTCGGGTCTGATGGATGGTAGGTTCTGAAGCGACAATACGGTATGTCGGCAAGAGCAGCAGCAAAGAGACCTGCACGCGCAGCTACGGTACGGAACTCGCTGATGGTTACTGTCGAATTGAACAGGATTGACTTGATCATCCATGGGACCAAGAGTGTTCGCCACGCCTGGAAAAGGATAAAATGCCTCAGTGGCTCAGAAATCAGGAACAGTCAAAAAAAGTGATTGTAGTGATGTACATGTCTGTGCAACTTTCTCAAATTCTCACCTTAATAAATTGGCACATGTCGTCGGCAGTGATTGCAGTGATAGCAGCAGGAGACTCGGAGAACGCCGAGAAGTCCAAACAGCGCACGTGCGCCTCTGCTAATGACGACAATAGCGAACCTAAAATGTTTGTGTATTATATCTACTAAGAGCTGAGGGTAAGAGCGAGATAAGTAAAAAGATCTAAGTGATGTATTTATTTCCCATATTCACAACAAGCGCTCCGAAGAGCGTTTATTTTTGATGCAGGATAAGGTTAATTAAATTGACCTAAAATTTTGTTTGGAGAACATCTTGGTTCTCCCAGACGCATAAAAAATCTCTAGCTCTCCAGAGAAGGAATTTTATTCAGATAGGATATATGTTTATTGTTATGTGACCTTATCCCGATAAGATATTTGCTTATATAAATTGATCACACTTGGTTGGAAAGGAGGAGGGAAGCTTTGATTGCATTAGAGGCGAAGTTTACGGTGGAAAGCCCATCAGAAATCAGGATAGAGGTGGTCAGTGGTGCAGGGATGAAAGAAAAACCATGAGAAATGGCCTACAAAAAATGAAATAGAATCTGTCTTAGCCCGCGTTGAAGCGACTTTCATCGCTTCTCCATGTTCGGTGACTGCCCATACATCAATGATGAGCATTAAATTATGTGAAAGACATAATAGTTAATACGGGGGTCGTACCGATACCCTCCGAAAAGGAAGGGGGTCGTAAAAATTTTGGAATTTGCGCAACGCAGGGTTGACCCTGATTGGAGGTTGAAAAGGGGATTATTCTAGTAAAAGGGAAGCTCCCCAAAGGCGTGACGGTGTGCGTTTCCCAGCGAAGGGCATGCTCCCAGCGGCGCCCACCCCCCTCATCGTCTGACTCCATCCTCCAGAGAGAGCCTCAGCGTCGATAAGGTCAGCACCGATGAGAGAACGCACAAATCATGGGCAAAATAGGGTCCCATCCACGGCGTTCTGAGTCTGTTTTCTCATGCGGTCTTCTTCATCGTGCACCTGTGACCACCTCTCACTTGAGTTCTGACTTGAGTTCCTTTTCCTTGTTACTTCCGAATCCGACAACGGCCGTAAAAAATCACTCAATCAAACTCACGCTTTTTTGAAAAGACTTCACCGTCCAAATAACAAATTTTGTGGACAATGAATGCATAGAAAAAAAGGTGAAAACGAATTGAATAGTGTAAAGATTTACCCTGCACACGTCTACCCATAGGATGTTTTCGACTTCGTTTTGATGTTTCGCGTCCAGTCGCATTCGGATTTCTTTGAGTTTTCGAAGATCCAAAGCCGCTTTGATACCGCTGAACACTTCCGTTCCAGTCATATTTTCCAAACTGGGAGCGCGTCCAAGCTCCCGAACGAGGGGGGGGGGCGGGGGGGGGGGGGGGATGACAACCGCCGCAGCGACTCCTCGCCCATGCACCATGAGAAGTACGGGTTTTGTGAGCACAACAATAAAGACCTGAAAGTTGAAGATAAGTCTTAAGGTACTAGAGAAACATACATGAGTGCCCGCTGGATACTTGCACAAAAAGTAAGTGGAAATGGTGAAGTGACAAATGGATCCACTAGTCACGCCAACAGCCTTGAGCCCCCACTAATTCAACCAATTTTTCAACCTCTACGAGGAACTTTGATGGGAATCAAACTCGCATCAATGGGTAAGAGAAAAAGTGGAGTGAGGTGCGCATCGGGGTTCGCTTGCTCAAAACCAATGTATATGCAACTGCATTTAGAGAGAGTCACGCAATTCAGTTGTATTCCTCTTTCGTACAATCAGTTTCCGTGGAAAAAATCCTTCAAAAAACACACTTCGTGTACGACAGACACTTGGTTGCAGCCAAGGGGGACAAGCATGAAATAAGAACGTGGTGGGTTGGCCACGCATGCAGTGATACTTCAGCGAGAAGGGATTTGAATCAAACATCAGATTTTTGAGCAGTACGAAAACGTCTGCACCGCGATCGATTGGATGGTAAATAGCCAGATTGAAATTTTTGTGCTTCCCAAGTTACGACGATGTCCCAAGAAACAAAACGACGCATGTAGTCGCCAAAGTTTGTGACAGTAGCGCGGCAAATGGAAATTGAACGAGGAATAGTTTTCCTTGAGTTCCGGATTTCTTTGTGAAACAATCACGATTTTTGACCTCATTTTCGTACTCATTATTTATGACAGGTGTAAGAGACCGGTTGATGGAGAAGATGAAGTCATGCTTCTCTTGACACGTACACTTGAAGTGCCGCCCAGAAAGCCAAGGTACCTATAGCTAAGAAGCAGAGCTAGCCAATATGGGACCGCTTAACGCCATAACGTTTTCCTTTAGCCTGCTCTTCTGCTAAAAAAATTGAAGAACTTTTATCTGGACAAAAATCCCAGTCAAATATTGAGGGTGGACAATGGTGACAACGTTCACAAAATCCATGAGGTACCACTCTGCTCGAATAGTATTGCCTCATCCTCTGTAGGATGAGATGATTTGTTCCCGATTCGCCTGGTAGCGTTTGAATATGGAACAACAACCCAAAGCCACACTACTACATCTCATTAGCACCGAAGCCATGGCTCATCTTGAACGGATTGACTATTTAGTACTTATTGATTTTAGAAGACAAGAAAGGCAAATTGCTCACTTTGGATCTAGAGTACCACACATTTCCTCGCAGAATGCGACGGCATGTGCGAATCGCTCATCTACTCGTCTCGCTATCAACCGTCGTCCCCTTTTCAGAACATCGACTCGAAGAGCGACAATATCGAGGTAGGACAGCAACTAAAATGTGTATAGAATTCATATGAGCAGTTACCCTCTGCTTCCAAAAACCAGAATGCGCGTCGGGTGCAGACCACACACCACAAGTGACGACGGCCTCCACAAAATGTAAATGTTTTCTGCCAATGAAATGATTAGCCTGTTGCAGTTGTATTCTATCAGTTGTCACTAATTACAACTATCATTTATTACCAACTATCACTATGAATCACTACTAACCAGATTTACTTGGAGGCCGTCGTCACTTGTGGTGTGTGGTCTGCACTCGACGCGCATCTGGTTATTCGAAAGCAGAGTAAAGATTCTCCAACTTTTCCAGCAATGGTTCAAAAACACTCACAGATTTTACCGTGGCAGAATCAACTTTCTGAACGCCACCTTTTGAGTCCCATTCGGCATTCATCCCACATCGCTTGTGCTGTATGTAGATCGCCCGCAAGCGGGAGTCGTTGCCGCGAAGACATGCTCGACGCTTAGATCGGTAGTCTGTAAGTTCGCCTCAGTTTTGATGACGCTTGTAAATGCTCCCTTAGAAGCGCTATACTGAGTCGGGTGGAGCTGAGGCTTCCCTCGCCCACCCAGGAGGCCGACGTCCACTAGCCCTCTCACAGCCCAAATTAGCTTCCATTTGTTAGTGAGGAAATTCACGCCCAATGATACAATCGTCCGATCACATCGCCCCCGATGTACAGGGTGGTCCAAAATTATGAGGACCAAGACATTGTGTCGTTAAAAACGCATAGTAGCTTGATGGAACAAACCAACTTCTGGGAAGTATTTGTAACTCTTACCTCAAAGTAATTCCAGAATAGAATTGAGATCTGCCACTTGCCCCGTTAACACGAGCCTTCGGATGAGGGGGATGGCGCGTGCGGTGGCACGCAACTAAGGCGTGTCCAAATGTTTCCAGGCCTTCTGCTCTGCCTTCTTCAGGGAATCAAACTTTTGTGTTGCATTTATTTGCGCTTGCATCCAGGGTGTGAAATACAGAAATCTAGAGCTATTAGGTGGAGGTTCCATTGTAACAATTCTTCGAAAGCAACGAACTCGAAAAATCGCTTTTTAGAGAATTTTTGCTTTATTCTTGGGTGCTCGGTCCTGTAAGAAGTCCCAAGTAGACTACTCGTGTGGCTTTCTATCCACTACAGATGTGGAGTCTTTAGAGTGTCTGGCTGGGTTTTCACATCAATTTTTTCATTTTGGGTGTACGAAAGTCGACAAGGGGAGACCTAGTTTCTGCATCTGATAATTATCCTGGTGGTAACTGTAACTTTCGAGTCCCCGAATTTTCCATCTGTGGTGGTTCCAAACTTATTGAAGAGTTGAACTGTTGCTCATAAGGGCTTCTCTGATAGGTTAGACTGCTGCTAGATGTAACGTGCCAGAGCCCCTAGTGAGTTCAATTTGAGGACTGACTCAAAGTGTGAAGTAGTTATTTCACTAGTTTTGAGAACTTCATGAAATTTGGTTCATTAGGAAGAAGACATTGTACCCCTCACATAGTGCACAGAAAACGAGATGAAAATGGAGCGATACGGAAAAAAGTGGATATGACTGCGCGCGCACGCGGTCCTCATAATTTTGGACCACCCTGTAAATCCGTCGTACCCTTCCTTATCGTGCGCACTTCAAGCGTGAAAGGAGTGTAGCAAACTAAACCAAATAGGCGTTAGCCTGGATGAGATGTGTCAAAGTGGCGAAATCGGTATACTGCATGATTGATTTTTTTTTGACTTCGACCATCTGTTCGGGTCGTCAGCCTGTTTGCAAAATCGTTATTCATTACTACCATGGCAGTGTGCAGGAATTCTGAAAGAGTAGATGCCATGAACGAAGCTTGAATTTTCTCAGAATTTCAACCTCAGAGTTCTAATTATAATTAGAAATAACGGAGCGCACCCAATGACAGACTATAAGAATTATGTATTGTGAAGAAACGGTAGACAAATCCTATTTTCTCGCTAAGCTGAAGGGCCAGAGACCCATGCGAGCGGTTGTATGAGATCTATTCCTTTTGGTGCAGCGGGAATCTGGTAGTAAGTAAGAATGCGTGAGCCAGGGGGCATGGGGCCAATTCAGGGAGGTGGGGGTGTGTGAGCCACTTACCTGTGGCGAAAGTTTGGGCCTTACAAGGGAGGTCTTTCAGGTCGTGGAGCGCTTTTTCAAAACGGTTTTTTGCATCATATAGGGACATGTGTATGGAGTACAGAACTGTGCTCCATTTTTCCTGAACGGCCCTACAAGTACTAGAAAAAAAGCGAAGAATATTTTCGCCAGAAACTGCACTTCAAACAGCTTCAATGTGTTGGATATCACCCATGGTTCGTATAATGTATGCTATACGAAGTTATTGGAGACGCAGAAGGAGCAAAAGGGTTAGATGTACAAACCCGCATGCGAGCGGTATCGCTAGATTGCCAGGGGCACATCATTCGCTGCGAATCGCGCGTCGGTCCGCACCTTTAGAAAGTGCGCCAGTTTCACTAGCTCATTTTCACATGTTCGACCTCCAACTTTATCCTCTTTAAAGGTTATCCTTTATGACCCCTTCTGCACGCCCTACGATTGCGTATGGACCCATCAAGAGAAAAAACTTGGTATTGTGCTGCTTACCAGATCATCAAGCGTTTGGACACTATATACCAAGAGGCAATAGGGAAGTACCCTCTCGCCGTTCGGAAGGAACTATTGACCACGGTTTCATGAACCGAACTATTGTGGAAGCCTTCCAGCTCTCGGCGGCTTTTGTAAAGGCTCCGAAGAGGGTGAGTGCACAGAAACGTAAGCTGAAATAAAGTTCTATACCAATCTCTTAAACATCGAACAGAAGCAATCCAATACCTGTACTATCATTGACGATTAATAGAGAGTCGTTCACGGAATACTGTGGAAGCTTTAAAAGAAGTTTTTTTTTACTTGTTTTTTTTTTTACTTTTGCAGCTTTTGTAGCCTTTTGGAATGGAGCTATTGGTGCCTTTTGTGCTTGGCAACATTTTGAAAATAAAATATCACTCACCTTGGGACCCGTACAAGATTGTGAACGATGAGCTGCCGCCATCGCTTCGACACCTGCGCTGCCGATAGCATCGCATCGTGAGGTGGAAGGAATTGGATGATCTGAATAAGCAATGGCGTCATTGTAGTCTCTCAATTAAGGAAAAGGAGCCGCAAAACGTATTTGAATATCAAAAACATATTCAGCACATATTTGAACAGTCTCAGGACATTCTGTCAACCTTGAGGTTAGGCAATTCAGCGTTTTGTAGAATGTCTGGGAGCTCTCACAAACGCACACTATTACAGTATCTCCTGCTTTCTTTATTTCCTTCAAGAATCTTAGTGCTGGTAGACACAAAATGTATGTTTTCTATACCCTCACTCTTCTGGTTTACAAAAGCCTTGTAACCTAATTGAACAAATACAAACGAATTCTTAGTTATTCTTCTTACACAATTTTCTGTATGAACTTACCCTGACGAGAAGCTCATTGGGTAAACGATTGATGTCGACTTGATAGTGAATTGGTTCTGAATATGGTGGCATCTGTCGTCGTCACTCTCCCAGCAACGTCATGACCCTCGATCGAGGCGTTTTACTGGAATTAGCTTTTTTATGTTCAATTGTAGGGCAACATTTCGTTTATTTATAACACGACAGGTAGAAATCAGCTAAGAATATGCGAAGAAAACGAAACTTGACTAAACGAAAGGAAAATACGATTGGACCTTCAAACCAATTATAAGATGAGAACAGCGAAAAAAAGGAAAACTGATCGTGAGTAAAGATTGAGAGTGAAGCAATCGGCGTCGTCCGATCTTTTCGGGATGGGCCATGCATTCTACTCCCCTCGACGCAGTTGAATGCGGTTATTCAATCACTTGCAACTGTCAGCCGACGAAAAGTTTCTATTTTGTCCTCCCACACGAGTCTGTTGCCATTTGCGTATTCGTAAAAGGGGTAGCTGGCTAGAATTTAGTACGAAGGGAAGTTTGATCCTAGGAACGTGCCGTAATGAGTCCCACTACTCCCCACAACATCACTACTGCCAACAGGGCAAAAGCTCAGATAAGAATTGCGCGAAAAGAGTATGAGTGTTAAAGTTGGCATAATACGAGTTAAACCGTTCAGCAAGGACGAGTTAATGTGTTCAGAGAAAGGAAGGGTCCGAAGAAAGAGACAATAGCAAGATATTGAGTCTCGCCTGGTACGGCACGAACCTGAATTGATCATCCCCTGGCCTACGTTTGGAGATGTGATAATTCCATAGAAAATGTCTATGAAAAAATCCTACTTTGGCAAATGCATGGCGTATCCGGGAGATTTACCAACGGTGTATTTCCTGAAAGTACAGGGTGCCTAGCAAATTGCAAGCTCAAATTAGGTGATGTTTTCCCCAGCTTCTTAGAAATCCAGATATACTTTGGACAGTTGATGGTACGGGTGCAACAGATAAATCTGCGTAACAATTTCATAGCATCACTTGAATAATGAAAGCCCCGTGAAAGTTAGGATTGAGGGACGAGGGTGCGCTGCGAAGAGGCGAGCAGTGAAGAGCCTGGGCGGAACATCTGGGCTCTCTGGACTGAGCAGAACCTAGCAGATTGTAATACTCCATCAAACTGTCGTAGATA